CCGAACACGTGCATAGCAATAGGTGATTATAAATACATCCAAGTTGAGAAAGGTATGGACTTTTGAAACCTGAACTATCTGAATTCCAATATCATCTCTCCACATTCTCCAATACTGAAGACTAATTCTCACGACGGAGGTACAACGAGGGAGAACGCCCCGACCTCTTTTTGCAGGAACGATTCTCAATATGATCTACAATGATCTTAGCATACAATAGCTATGAAGATATCCAACCTGTAACATACATTCGCATAACAAGAACAAATTGGAATTTCAACCAACACCCTGATGGCCAGACAACACAGCTTATTAAAAATTAGGTTTAGGGTTTTGTCTATGTTTTGTGCTAGCAATGTTGTAATAACAAAGGACCGTAAACCGTAAAACCTCTACTATATCCTATTATATTAAAAAGGGCAGTTTTAGGTTACTGTAGATGCAACAATAACCCAAAGAGATGTTGCTGTTCATTTTCCCAGTTTTCACACCTCCAATCCTCCAGTTTTGTACCAAATCATTTTTTTCCAATCTGCTATAAAAACGATGTCGGACTTTGAATAGTTAGGTATTTATTCCTGCATTATTCTTTATTTTCTCCCATATATTTAGAATCACTACCAAAAGAAAATGAATGTTCACAGGTGAGATCGGAGATTATCGAATATGACAACCTTTCCAACTATTATTTAATTCATGAGCAGGCAAAAGCTAACATATTGAATTGAATGATCTTAATTGTCAGCACTCTTATAATTTATCACTCGATGGTTTTGGATACAAGTCTTTTTTTTTTCAAATTGAGTCTTCTTTATCTTGTTATTAAATTTAGACGAAAACATTTGCTTACATTTTACACAAACTAAATATAATTTCACTTATTAATAATTTGCTATGTACTGTTTGTATTTATATAAAAATCTGTTGAAATTTAAGTTAGATTTGCTTATAAATTAATTATATCTCTTCAACACATACATGAAAATCAGAATTCCTTTTGGGAGCGATGTCCCCGAGCCCCCATGAGGGGCACTGCCCCTCGACCCCTGTGACCTGACCGGACAGGTCGATCCCTGCCTTTCGGGGGGCAATGCCCCTAAGCCCCCGCGACTCCCACGACCTGATTGGGTATATCGATCCCCCATTTCGAAGTGGCAAACCATTTGCACAATAATAATAAACAAATAAATAAATTATGAAAAAGTATATTGTCTCAAAACTAATACTTTTTTGCTAAATTTGAAGTTTGCTCAACAAGGTGGCATTCCGATGGCTCTGGTAAAATTTTAGCAATAAAACTTGACACATTTTATTCCAGAATTAGTGATTATATTTTTTCCTCCATTTTTTTAGCTTTATGATTGTGTCAACATATCAGTTTGATGGAAAGACTTGTGCATAAAAATTGGAATACTGAGGTCTGATTTTAAGATTTGTATTCCCTGATTCATTTTTCAGACATGTATATTCAACAATGAAAAAAATGTTATTTGTATTGTCATTATTTTGAAAAACTCTAACATAACTTACTCTTCTATTCCTTAATATTACACTTTGTCATTGATGTTCCTGACACTAAATCATTAACATTTTGTAATACAAAATCTCATCAAGATATGAATACTGTGGTTAGTAAAGTTTATTCATCGTAATAAATTTCTTTACATACTTAATAAATTTAATTTATATTTATTTATTCTATTAAAATCTTGACTTGAAGTTAAAACTGTTAAGACGACTTATCAAGGACGGCTGCACCCTTGTTTCAAAGAACATGCAATTCTAGATTTCGGCTTTGAAAATGAGTGTACTCGCCAGATGATGTTGCAAAGAAGCATAAAAGAAGGAAGTACAAGTACACATTCACTTGTGCAAATAGAGTGAGTATTTAAACTATTTACTGTTTACTATAATATTTTATTTTTTGCATACTTTAAATTTATATTTATGATACTAATTTAATCAAATGTAAAACTTTTTTTTAAGGCCAAACTGTGCAATTTTTTTTGCTTAAATATATAGAATGCTTCATTTTTTTATATCCAATAAATACTTTCTCCAAACATGATGATGACTATATACAGGCGAAACATTGAGGTAGACATTTGCAATAATGAATATTTTCTACATCATCGTTGATTCTGCTATTAATGTATAATCATATTTGCGCAAAAAATTTCTAGAAATATCTGTTACACTCATTTGATTCATACTAAAGAACACAGCTAAAGAGACTAGCTCCCACAGTACAGTGACAAGTAAAAAGGTAACATATGAAATCAGTTGTCCTTCGGGCTCAAATGTCAAATGTCCACCTTTGGAATAGCCTTATGAGCATATATATAAGTAAGATTATTAGAGTTTGTAAAAATTTTCNAGTCTTTAACGACTCCATCGCTTTATTGAAAGCATGTTTAGCTAATGTTTAAAAAGCTTTTTGTGTTAAATAAGCTTAAATATGCTATTTTTTCTAGCATATTGTTAAAAAAGTTAATAATTTACTTATAGCTAAGCTTTTTAAACATAGCAAAAGAAGTTGTTAACAACTTTTTCTTAACGACAACTTCTAAAAATGTTCATTTTATTTATGTTTTACATGTTTATTGTTTAAATTCTAATTTAGTTATAAGTTGATCTTCTTATTTCGTAGCCATATGACCATCAATCTAATTTAGTTATAAGTTGATATTCTTACTTTGTAGCCATATGACCATCAATCACATGGCCTTCTCATTCTAGAAAAGGAATAGTTTTCAGTTATAGGCTAAAACTATTGCTTAATCTGCTAAGTTAAGATTTAAGCATAAGAAGGTTGATTTTGTAGATACCAAAAAAGTGGAATATAGTTTGAAATATTCGACGAATTTGCTAAAAATGTACTTTCTTCTAAGGTTTTCCTTTTCCTTTTAATTATGTGTATAGTTTCTAATCTGGTCAACTTATATGGGTTGAAAATTCATTTGAAAAGATGCATACAGAGTTGGCTATTGTGGCAGAAACTAAATTGCCCGAGGCACAAAATGTGATGGAAAATGCTAACATGTGTGTTAATTATTTTTCCTAATGCGCTAAAACCTATTTATCATAAATTGTTTTGGCTCATTTCATATTGTGTGTTCTTCTTCTTTTGCTTAATTTTCTAATATTTTACTTTATAATTTTTCATCTTTAGTACTTTTTTATTCCATTTTTCATGTATTTATGTTGGGGGAATTGGATTTTTTTGAGATCGTTGTTTCTCTTTTATTTAAATGTTGTTTTGTATTTACAGTAAATTTAATCAAACATTTCTTACTCCTATAAACCTGCAATCTTTATGTATGTCAAACGTTTCTATTGTCATCTACATACACGTAATGTTTTCAATTTTATTTTTGGTGAGTTTTTCTGTGCAGTAATATCAGCTTTTGAAATAATCACATTTTTAGATGAAGCACTAGCGAAGCAGTAATATGCTCCCAAGACTCTTGAATAATTCAATAAATCTCAAACTATTTTTTTAAATATCTATAATTTTTACACTACTAAAAACACAACAAATACAAAATTCATACAGCGCACGTGTCAACGACTAGTATTTATATATGATTTTTGGGACATTACATATATAAGTTGGTTGCAAAATACAATTTCAAAATTAAGAAATTAGGTTTATTATTTCAAAAATTAGGCCTTAATTAAATTCTATTAATTAATTAAAAAATATTTTACAAATTAAATAAATTAAGGTCGTAGTATTATACAATTTATCATCACGATAACATACTAATCACAATTATAGACGTTATGGGTACAAATTTTATAAGTCACAACTTATTTTTCGGTTATGAATTATCGAATTAATAGGTCACATACTATTTTTCGATCACAAATCATAAATTTTATAAGTCACAATTTATTTCACAGTCACTAATTATCAAATTAATTGATCACACTTATTTTTTGATCACAAATTATTAAATTAATTGATTACAACTTAAATAATTGCGAGTCACGATTACAAATTTAACTTCACATTTTTAGGTCACAAATTATCCAACTTATTGGATTTTGCATTTGGACAAATTGTTTCCTCCTGTTAGACGTTTAGTCGGAACAAATAAATTTACACGTTTAGCTGGAACAATAAAAGACACGATAACACTGGTATCCAGGAATTATTAGTGTTTTGTTTGTGACTTAAGGCGGAACAGTTTGTTTCCTACAACAATTGTGCCTATTACGGTACAGTTGATGAGAAGCTTTTAATGAGCGAGGAAAGAAGTGGGGGTCGGAAACTTTTGCCTTGAAGCTACTGGCACAATCATTCATCATGTCGTGAGCATAATTGTCTCTTCAACGGGATAAGCTAACTCTAAAACATGTCGATGATTTAGTTATTAATTTTGTAAAAATAATAATTATTATTGTAATGTATCATTTTTACTGTTAACATGTCACGTCATTCCTTTTTTTGAAAAATTGCATGTCAGCATATCCGACACATGCTCGTGTTGATGCATCATGTGTGGCTACAGTATAGTATGATTCACTGCGAGTCGTGCATAACCTAAAGTTCGTTTTTTCTTGGGTGCAATGCTTCTATTTCAGTAGATATCTTTTTGTTGTTTAAAGATGTGAATTGTGATACATATTTATGCTATTATATTGCTCGTTTAGGATTATATGAAATAACATAACCTAATTTTCTAAAGTCATGACTATATATAATTACATGTTAAATTTGTATGTACTGTCACACTATATCATTACTCATGATTGAATGAACAACAAATCGATCTCATTGTGTATATGTGAATCAAACTGAAATAAATTCAATGTGAATCAAACTGAAATAAATTCAATAAATTTTAATCAAAACTTAAAAATGATATTCGTTGCATTCGATATATACGAGAAAGTACGATTTCGAAGTTAGCTAGTGTGTGCATTCTAACATTCAACAACGACAACATATTGTGAACAAACATATCCGGTTCATCGTATTCTATTGCATTACCTCATCCATTAGTCATCGAACAAAGTTGTCGGATTTCTCCCTCATCGTTCCTCTTCACTCCGATGCTAGAGAGTTTCAAAAACGATTGAATCCAGCTCTCGAAAAAAAATTCTTGATTATTTGCAAAGTCTAATACTATATTCTTTGTTCTTTCATCATTTAGCAATGCAGAATCTGATTGGAAAAGACCCTTGTGAACAAGCAACTCCTTATAATACTCGTTGTCGAAAAGTAGAGGTGTGTTTGGATCATTGTTGACGGTAACAGAAGCACTAGCTCCTGCTGGACACATTCTCGTTAATTCAGCTGCATATTCCTTATCGAGCGATGAATCGATGAGGTTGAATTTTCCGTTTGAGTCGAGTTTGAAACGATCACTAAATGACCTGCAATGTGCTGATCCAATTGTGTGAGCTCCTGCAAAACCACAAATCATATTGTATAACCATAGATAAATAGGAAAAATAGAGACTCCAAGAGTTGATATGTGTCACTAATTGACGAGTCATTGACAAGTATATTTACAAATATATTAGGTGCACCCCCCTTGATATATATTTTTCCTTTATTAGTGGGGTTCGTTTTTAACTTAAAAGAGTCTACCTGAGAGGGTAACGAGATCGTCCATGGATAGACCCTTAGCAGAAAAAATGTTAGCCATTTGATTCAATGTGAAACTTGTGTCTATTATATTTGGTCTAACATTTGCAGCCAAAGATACCCTTCCATCTCTCCTCCCTGTTGGAATCTGAATATTTGGTCCCCCAGTCTGTTTGAAGAAACCCATTAAGAAGTACCAATTTTAGATAATGAAACACAATAAAAATAAAAATGTCACATGATAGAATATTTTTATGTAAATATAGGGTGATTTTGCACTTTACGAGTTCAACGGCGTCTCGAGCGGCCAATGCGAGAATATCAGCACAAGAAACTACTCCTGGACAAAAGATTTCAAGAACTCTTTTTGCCGAGTCTATTACTGAAAATGCTCCAAGTGATTTGTTAGCTGGATCACTTCTTTCAGTATCATTTCCTTGTAACAATATAGATGCATCACAGCCCTGTTAGCAAAATTCCCTAGAGTGTTAGAAGTAAACATACTCAGCATCCAGGAAACTAGAACTTTAGTTTAAGCTAAATGTAGTGTAAGCATTTAGATCAACTGGTTTAATACTACATTTCTCTAAACGTAGTTTAATTCTAAACATAGTTTAAGCGTTTAGATCAACTGGTTCAACTCTACAGCTCTAATCCGACACGTTTTAAAAATCGAAATTCTTCAAAAATTTTAGTAAAATGCATATATATAATTTGTAAAAGAAACAAAATATCAGAAAAATACAGCAAATTAAAACAATACTAACCTCTACAAAACAGTCATGGAAAAACAGACGAAGAAGCTTTCCAGGGATGGTTGGGTCCGTAGAAGAGGCAGATCTCACTGAATTTTTCACCATAATTTCAGCAGACGGACACGAAACTGCATAAAAGTCGAAGGAGAGACCAGAGGAAGATCGAGTAAAGCAAACTACAGAGAACATGACAAAAATAAGTAGCTTATAATTATAAATTTTCTGACATATACAAATTTCCCTTTTCTCCATATTTTTAGAAAGACAAGTCCTCCACTCAAACTTTCCTTAGTCAATCTCTATATGAGAGAGAGAGAAGGTCATGTGTGGTTATTTAAATCTTCATTTATTTGGTTATGGAAATGAATTGGGACAGTGGGAGATGGTCAGAAGATAACTGTTCTTGTATAAACATATTGATTTCAAAATCTTGGAGTAGATCAAGATGAATTAGGAGGGGTCAGGTGGGTGGGAGTTGGATGTAAGATTACTGAATTGAACATTATCTGTGTGTCAGAAACCTTCATAAATACGAGCCCAGAATGGTTGTTTGAACTTTGTGCATGCACACAATAATGTTCCAAGAAGATCCATGTGAATGTTGTACATAATTGTTTGATTAATTTTATTTTTCCCCCTAAAACGTCTCTACAAGGAAATTGATTTTCTGTTGGTAAACAACGTCAAAAGTGTCGAATATCGCCCCAACAACATCTGTGAGATAAGAGCATCTCTAATGAGCTATGAGTTGCACCAAAATGTACATTAAATCATCCCGAAATTCTTACGTGACCCGAAAAATGTGGTTCTTTTCGTAAAAGGAGTACTAGATGCTATTCTATCCTTTCCCATTTTGCTTATAACGTCTACAACAGTTCACATTGCTGCATTGGAGATGATTTGACACGAAAGTTTGCAAAGACAATGGACAGCTACAAAGGTGTATTAGCTAAGACAAGCAAGATGGAATATCGAGATTGTTGATTCAATAAGAATACCGAAGACTAGATCATCTTTTCCATCAAAATCCCAATCAAAGATAAGTTCTATCAAGGCCAGGATCTGAAAGAAAAGATTCACTTTCCGATATTCGAAGCGAGATGATTCCTTCGTGAACTAAAGTTGACTGATTGAAGTCTTCTTTAAGTTCAGAATTATGGGGCCAACACTCTAAAAACAATGTTTATTCAAGAAGGACTAGTCTGGGAACAATTTACAAGTATTTGTGTCTTTGATAAGGGAACTTCAAACCTTATGTACAATTGTATAGCTAAAAATTAGAGATGACAAATAAACCCGACAAACCCGGTACCTGCGGGGCCCCGCCCCATTCGGGGTGGGGAAAACCCGCTAAAATGGGTAACAGGGCGGGGTCGGGGAGGGGAATTTTGCCCCGAGGTGGGTTCGAGGCGGGGACGGGTAACGGGGTCCCTACCCCGCCCCGTTAAAAAAAAAAAAATTTTTTTTTTTTAAAATTCAATACTTTAAATGAAAATTTTTATTAGTTCTAATAGAAAATAGCAACTAAAATTATTTGTCTAAATCTAATGAATATGAGCAATAAAAATAAATTATTAGAAACTAAAAAAAAATAAAAAATAAACGGGAAAAGGACCTACCCCCGCCCGACCTTAAACGGGTAACGGGGCAGGGACGGGGGCGGGGAATTTCTTAGCGGGGGGCGGGGCCCGTTCCGTTGCCATCCCTACTAAAAATGCGGATATATCGATTACCATACACAAGTTGATCTTTTAAAAGCATGTTGAGTACTCGAGTAAATTAGAATCTATAATAGACACAATCTATCTAGTACCACTGAACTTCCCTACTAATCATGTGACGAAGTTTCAAACGCCTTACTTTTATTTAACAGACCTCACCTTACTACTCCTCACAACCTCTGTTCTTCCTTATAAAGTTTGTTGTATTCATCGCAGTTGCAGTCGAACAAATATTGATTCCAGCCATGCACAATGCTGTACAAAACAAAAGAGATTATACCTTGTTTCCCACTGCCATTTATAGACGTGTCCAGATATATGAAGGAATGAAATTCCACCGACATATATGTAGTATAAAGGAAAACGCCACTTGTACACTCTTTTGTTGACACTGCAAGTGTTGGCAAGTACTGAATGAGTGAAAAGCTGTCAAAAATTTAAATTGTTCAATGATGTGTTGCTATGTTGCAAAGTGTAAAACAGATGTAAATGATGATATACATGTAGCATTACTGTGTTATAAATAGGAGATTTCGGCTAGTATACATGGGCATCCGTTTTTCAACAAGAGAAGAGGCAGCCATGCTTCTCTAATGTTTCACACAAATAACACACAAAACGGCTAGGTCAAGAGCAACAGGATATGTTAGGTTTTAATTGGACCAATAAAAGAGTTAAATGAGCCAAGATTCAAATCCATCTAATAGATAAATATATAGAACTTGTGAGTACTATTAATTTCTTAAATTACTTCCAACGGTCTATAATATTTTCGGGTCGAGTCTTTGGACTTGGTTGTTGGTAACGATCTCACTTATCAATTAATATCTATGAAATTCAATTTAACGTTTGCATCATAGCCCGATATTTATTGGATATCAAAATCCAACAAGAAGGAATCACATGCTGAATATATGTGTTGAGACATAATTTAAATATATAAGTTTTTCATCAGTACAACAAAGTTTCTTGGTCAATTCTTGATACCACTCTTTATAAAAATTGTCGACATCCTTAGCTTTTGATGAAAAAATAGATTGGCCTTGTGCGTTTTATAGAGCAAATTGAAGATATTATAAAAATAAATTTGCTCGAGTTATTAGATGACGAGGTTCAACGATACCTGTTGCTGAAATCCTGCGCATAACCCCACTTTTTGCCGAGGTAGTGGCAACAAAACCTGCCGGAGAATGTTCAAGTATGGCCGGATCTTTTGGCTGTGAAATTGTGTTGTGTCCAAAATAATAAGACATTCCATGCCCAACTTTGTCCATTCATTTCCTATACTCAGCCACCCATGTGTCTGATGACTTCAAATTGATATAGAGTTCTTGTGGGAACTTTTTCTTTCATCAGAATCTCAATCTGATGCCTTTTTAAATATCATAGTAGGGATATATTTTTTATTTACATTTGTCTTCAACTAAAGCTCTAGTAAACAAGGTTATATGATGTATTTAGCTAAGCAACAAAAATGAGTTTCTTTCTTGTAGCACTCCTAAATTTTTGTAATACAATATGAGAACTATTTCTAATGACTTGGACTAGTCATACACCACCAGCACGAAGGTCTGGATGTGTATCTATAATACATTTTTAACATCTCACCGTCTCATCTCTTTTTAGTAAATGAGAAGACACCAATATATTGTTTAATACATCGACGTACACCTTGATTTCTTTCCATTTATTGAGAACAGAACATGTACCGAGGTGTCAAAAAATGTATTCAAGGAACAACCAAGAAAAATTAGTCTGGGACATCATATCTCAATTAACTACAGAGAAAGTGGATTGAATCACCTTGATTGGACAACGCACAACCACAAGTGCATCCAACAATTGCTAATAAGAAAATGAAACTGGACTAAGTTTCTTATGGGGACATCAATCTTCGTAACAATGAAACTCATTGCCATCTCTATACAGGATCACTTTCTTGTCAAAAACAGAGAGTCCCAAAGGTTCATCATCTGGCACATTTTTAGTAACATAAATAGTGTTTACCAATCTGGTGTCCAATCATAATCCACCATCACTACCTAGTCTACCTTCTGCCCCTTGGCTTCTTTTTCATCAGATGACCCCAAAACACACTTTGATCTCATCTTGTTCAATATAATCTCCTCTTCTGCAAGAACATTGCACTTTTTCCACTCATTCTTAACTTGATTAGTAGTATTACCACCGTCAAACTTTATCTTCTTTGTGGGGATTCAAGAACTTTGCTTTTGGAGTTTTTGATTTTTGGGTTTGCTATTTTGGGAGTGGAAGATGTGTTGAGAATTAAAAACCTAATTCTACCTCACAAAGAAAAATAAAATTGCATAAATACAATATACACACAAGAATACATAAGATTTATATAAGGACCTGTTTGAGCCAGATTTTAATCTAAATCAAAGTCAAACAATCAATATCAACCACATTTTTTATGGGTCTCACATTTTTTCAATCACACATTTCAAAAACTTCTATCACAATCCACTTAAAATCTGATTTTAATCTACACCAAACACCCTCTAAGTTCGCTTCAATGTAATACTACATTCTCGTACGTTGCTGCAGTAATTTATTATGATGAAAAAAGTTTACAAAAGAAAAAACACACACCATATTTTCTCAAACTCTCTCTCTCATTTTTTTTTTAATGATGATATAATGAACTTTGAGATGGATCCCTATTTAAAAGAATAATGAGGGCAAAATTAAAATTACAAGCATAAAATTTCTAAACTATCTTTAATAAAATTTTGAATCCGAGCTCTACTCTCCACACCCCTGGGAGGGGAGCTTCTTGCATCCAGCCTTTTCTTATTTAGCCTTTGTTTGAGCCTCATTTTTAGAAAAAAAAACATTTTTGAATATATTTTGTTGAAGAATGTGTGGTGATTAAAAAGTAAGAAATTTTTTTGATTTGCTTGTAATATTATTTTATAGGAGAATATGTGATTGAAAATAAGTTTTAAAAAAATGGGGACTAAATATAAGCTTATTATGTTTTCTTATTAAATGATAGAAAAGGAGAACCAAAAGAGAAAAATAGAAACATATACAAGTGAATGGTTCGCATAATTTGGACCACGTGTCCTCCCTTTCTTTCTTCGACGTATTCCTATTTATGCTTGTTCGAGATTTTGGAGTAGTTGCTTGTGTTCTACATTCATAATAAAAACATTACACAAGAATGGTTCACATTATTTGGACCATGAATCCTCTCTTTCTTTCTTTCTTTGATGTTTTTAGGGATGACAATATAACGAGTCGGCAATGCCCACCCTGTTCCGTCGAGTATTTTTGTTATCTTAACTCATCCTCATACCCCGATTAAAGTGGAACGGAACAGGTTCGAGGCAAGATCTGGAGGGCCAGGGCAGGTCCTCTACTCTAGTTATCGCCCTGTTTGTTTTTTATTTATTTTATTTTTTGTTTTTAGTTAATAAATATTATCAATATTTTTCCAATTTGTTAAGAGCAACTCACGTTCTCTTTAAAAATGTTAATAATTTTTTTTTTGTTTGATTAAAAATTTAAATTTAAAATTAATTTTAAACATAGTGGACAACGGAGCGGGAACTATGTTTTCTGTACCCGCCCTATATGTGCTTCTGGACAATGACCTCAGTCCCATTTATCTAATTAAGCGGGTAATCCTCGTCCCAATCATGACGGGGTTCACAGGTATCGAGTTAAACTGAATTTTTTGTCTTCCCTAGAAGTTTTCCAATTTGTTCTTGTTCATGATTTTGTGGTAGTTGCTTGTATTCTACCTTCTTAATAGGAAAATAACAAACAAGTGAAGAGGTGTAGGATAGAAAAGAGAATCTTAGAAATAGAAATAAGAAATGGTAATGGGGAAGGGATGAAAACGAGATTAGAAAGCCCTTGCCCTCCTAGTCCTCGAGTTCGTCAAGAATTTTTGGAGTGCAAGGCAAATTATGTTTTCCTTTTTCACCTTGATTCTTTAGCGAGACGGGACATTTTGTCATCCCTAATATACAAAGTGGGGTTGTGTTACGAAATGGAAGAAGATATGGAGTTATTGAAAGTTGACACAATAAATTCGATTTTTGATAAAATTAAAATGAAGGTTCAAATAGTCTTTTGAAATCTAAGGAATTTGAAATGATTTCTATTTTAAAAACTTGCCAATAATCATCCGAATAATTCCCCATCGGCTTCCTTGTCTCCTCCCGCCTGTATCTGAAACCCCAGTATTCCGCTCTCCCAATTCAAATTCGAACCGAAAACACAGTCAGTGCGTGTAAATGGGACATCGGAATCTTGAAAATCAACAACACCAAGCAGTGGATGGGCTCCTAAACCTCTTCTCGAAAGCCAATCGAGAACTCTCCATGGTGCACAACAAGCTCCAAAAGGAGTTCCAGCAAGTTTACCCCGACCATGTATTTTCTCTATTTTTCTCACTATTTTCTTGACTAAATTCTTTATTTACGCTTTTTATGTAGTGGGCATTCTAATTTCTTCTTGCTTTTGTTTTTCCTTTAACGAAATTCAACTTTTTGAATCTGAACCTGAAATTCTTGTTTGGGTGCATATTTTCATCCTTTCATTCTGATTCTGTATGATTTTTACAGGCTAATCCCATGAAGCTTGTGTCACGGTTGAAGAAAATTGAAGAGGAAATGTCATCTTTAAAGAATCAGTGTCGCGAGCTACTCACAGCCAAACAGGTATGCGTGCGCGAACACGCACATACAAGCACGAGCTGGTTTAGATGAGCTGATTGTAGATAGAAATTATATACAGTTTTCCTTTATATTCTTTATTGATTAAAGGTTGGTAATTTTTCTGTTTGAGAAATTTTGGGGAATTAAATTACTGGTATACCTGATGGATTCATAATTCTTTGTTTTCAGCAGTACTTCAGCTTACCAATTAGGAATTTGTAATTTTGTTCGTATATTTCCAAGTGCAACCACTGGGATGGAATGAATTAACATGTTTTTAAATATTTTGGGTAGTTTGGATTCAAAATTATCTTTATTACACCTGTAGGATTTAATTGATAAAGCCAGAACAATCTTAGTGGGGAACAGATCAATGGTGCAGAGGTTGCAAGCATCCACTGGCATTCCTTTCACCAGTGAGAGTGATGATCCTGCTTATGAAAGCTTCAATCAGGTAACATGAGCTTTGTATTATGTGATCAGTCTTGATTCACACGTTAATAGAATGTCTTCCCACAGTTAAACATTGTTCTCCATATGTTCAGTATCATTAGGTCTGAAAATACTTACTGGGGTTTTAAGCTTTAGCAAGGTTTAACTTTGATCTCCATCCAACTGGAAATCCTTTCGAATACATTGTTCTTTTCATTTATACCCCTCGTGCGTAGGGTTTTCTATAAGAGGCTCACAAGAAAGGGGTGCAGAATGGTTCCAAAGTTGTAAGCAAGCGAATTCCTGAAAGTGACCAGTGCACAGATCAGTAACAAACAACAAGAAACTAAATCTTATTCCTTACCAGTATGCAGATTCTTGTTAAGATAAAAATCCATATTCCCCCCTTAAAAAGTTTGTCAGACTTTTCTCCTTGTGATCTATAAATGTCAACCTAGTTTAAGTTGTGTGATGTAATTATTATCAAGGTTTAAGGTTGCATTTTCCAAATGGTGCCTAAAGACTTAGTATCATTTGCCAGCAAGCAACCAAAATTTAAATGGCGAGGTTGGCTTGTATGAGTACCATATCGTAAAGCATTCTGCTTTGGTGCTCTATCAGGCTCGCTAAATTTTGACCATCTTTGTCATTTTTCAGTGATGGTATTTGTGAAGAACTTTGGTCTGTTTTATAATCTTTCAACTTTATGTACAGGTAATTGATGAGTGGACAGCTCATGTCAGATCCAGATCCGGTAAGATGCTAGTCAAATTTGTTTTGAGATTATTTTTGCCACCAGAATGTAAATGTTTGTTACTTGTGTATATAACTGTCATGGTGATTGTTGCATTGCATAAGTTAGGAAGGTTGGGAAAGTTATGTGTGTTTCATAATGATTGGAACGAAAACTTTTGTTAGTTCAATCTCCCTCTGTAATGTTGTAGACATGTCTGATAAAAGAATAGGTAAAGCTTCTTTGATTAGCAACACAATGGACACTTACACACCTAGTTTTCACCAACCCCATCTTTTCTATATAACAACAATTTTGTCATGCATACCTTCGTTAGAGTTTCAGATTTTGCCAGAAAAACAGCTGCTATATGGTATTATTAACTCTTCGAAAAATTGTAATGCAGAGGATGAAGAAATGGAAGTGTCACCCTCTGAAAATATCAACCAGTTGCTATTCTCAGCAATCGTCCAAGGCGACTAAATCGTTGACTAGTTTGTCTCTAACAACAATGATCATATAATCTGGAAATGTTTGAGAGTTGATTCTCTTACATTTTTGTATTAGTTAAACGTATCAAACTACTTCTGTTCGTTATTTTCCTGACTTGAAACAATATGCGAATAGAAACTATCAAATTGTAAAATCTTCAATTTATTCCGATCGAAATCATTGCAACCATTCCAATTTATATTTTCTTCATGTTTTTCTTGAATTGCCATAGTTTTATTCCAAGCAAGCGTAATGCATATGTTCACTCATTTTCTGTGCATATAATAACCTTGAGATTATTTTTTTGGTTGGTAAATAAAAATTTTCATTGTTCAAAATCATATACAAATACTCCGAGCATTCCCGGGCAACCATCAATCATATGATGTAAACAACAACTTTGGGCATACCCGAGCAAACACATGAAAACAAAAAATGACGTACACATGATATGGGTTAAAGAATCATAGCTAATGACTTCCATTGAATCAAAACATTCGGATACAAAGAAAACATTACTTTGCATACGTGCGTTTTGATTCGTCGGACAACACTATCAACTTGCGGTGTAAGGTCTTCAAAAATCTTTTTGTTCCTTGCCGTCCAAATGTGGTAAACGGTAATGGTAAATGCAATCCGTTTGGCTTTGCTATGCCAAGATGTGCCCCGACTTTCATTTTTAAACCATTTCATTGTACTAGAGAGAGTAGACATTTGTCGCCTGATGCCCAGCCATACACGGATAGTACCCCATACTGTTCGGCTGAATGGGCAGCTTAAAAATAGGTGGCCTGTAGTCTCATCCGTGCGTTGGCAGAGGCTGCACATGCGGTCAATCTGTAGGTAATGCAATCCGTCCTTTGTCAGCGGTTTCGAAATGGCAGCCAAGTCAACCACATGATGAAGACGTGTTTTGGAGTAGCATATGCATTCCAAACGTAACCTGTCCAGATGACTTTAGCTCCTTTCGGCCTGAAATATTTGTACGTATCAGCTATGCAAAATTTCCCCTGAAATGTCCATTTGGACATTTTATCAACAGCACCCTGGGGAGTGCGTTCAGCCCCAATAATGCAATCTCTAATATCCAGAAGTTTTTTGAAGAGAGGAGAGTCATCTTTCCTTGGCATGTACGTCCAAATGCAACTCCCGTGGAGGTATACCTGATGAATGTTATTTCTGGAGTATCTCATTTCGAACAATCTGACAGAATTACCTTAATAAATCTGCACAGCGTAACGATATGATCAACAGAATCAGAAAATTAATTCGAGCCCACCGACTTAACGATGTTTCCTTAAAACGAATTTGCTGACTTCAAAAGGTGCTTAAGGCGTCCAGCAATCGTTTCCCAAGATAGAACGAATTTCGTCTCCTACGGAAGCAGCACATCAATCTGCAGGAGTTCCAGCGAACTCAATGAAGTGTTTTTTATTT